TGTATTTCTTTCCTAAATGTTTGAATTGTAGAACACGTAAATAGTTTGGTGGCGAACATTGTAAAAGACGATTTAAAAACGTAATCTTGAAGTTTGTGTTCAATTCAGATGGAAAATTATTTTATAAACAAAAATTTCGTTTGGTTTCATTATTTATGTAAACAAAAGGTTGTGTTTGGTATAATTAAGCACTTTCGCTTTTGGAACGGAGTAAAGGCACACAAAAAGTTAGCAAAAATTAATTCTGAGGTGCATTTTTCTTTTTTTAAAAGAATCATTACTTTCTTTCATAAAATGCTATTATTAGCTGTGGATAACAAGAAAATACCTCTTTGCCTGAATGTTTTTTCTTGACGTTTAAAATATTATTTTTTGTCTATTGTATTAATAAATATATGGAGCTCCTTTTTTGTATAATATATATATATAATATATATATATATATATATATATATATATATATATATATATATATATATATATATATATATATATATATATATATATATATATATATATATATATATATATATATATATATATATATATATATATATATATATATATATATATATATATATTTTCACGTATTGATTCACGGATGGAAAAATGTGATGACACTATATTCCGGGATATCATCCGTTCGCTCGTTGAACTCCGGATTCCAATATTCTACAAAAGTCAGCCTCTACGTTAGAATACGGAAAAATATATCAGATTTCAATATACTATTAATGGAAGCTCTAACCGCGGACGGTTCTAAAAATCGAATCGGCACCTAAATCCGGCACTGTATTTTGGACTGCAACTTAACAGCAGCATATAATAACTCACGACAAATTAATGATAGTTGTTCGGGTGTCCACATTTCATAAAGTTGAAAAACGGCTACCGTTTTGAGCCGTCGAACTGGCGCGTAAAAATACTGGCCGTCGATGTGTGCACAGCTGAGAAAGTTTTGTGTTATTAGTTTTCGGTAGAGAAGATGCAGCGAAACGATTTATTTTCGCCTTATCGACAATGAATTGAGTTTTAGGCAATTTTTTTCATTTTATTTGTCCAAAAAGGAGCAAAAATCATTTGATTAATAAACTGCTTCAGGTTTACTGAAAGACTCACTTCTTTTTAAATATTTGTTAATGGCATAAAAATTTAGAGATCAATAACTCCAAAGTTATTTTGCAGACGATTGCAATCTGATCTTTAGAATATTAAGGTTTGGCGTGGCACAAATAAACTATAATTAAATGCGAGTAATGTTAAAGAAGCATGTAGACCTTATTGTGAGACAATGCAAGGCTTTTACAAAAATTAATTCCTTTGAAACTATGTTCTCCTCTTATGTAGGAGTATGGTGCAGTGTTAAAAATCTCCAAAGAACTTTCTTAAAATATATAAATCAAATTGGTTGTCTCGCTTTAACCGGTAGATCTGACAGCGTTGTTGTTAGCATTTTTGAATTCTGTATATCCAAAAGCTCCCAGGTGTTGAATATTATCGTTCCAGATTTGTCAGTTTTGGAGATATAAAAATTGTAGGACCTAATAACTTGATCGACAGAGATGCGAGAAGGTAATCTGTGGTAAATTGTATGTCTCCTAAGTTTTGCAAGATGTTCGGTCATATTTTGATACTCACCTACAGGCTTTATTATAGGCTGTATATACGAGTATAACGAAGTTTTATTACTCCGAAATATTTAGAAATGGTATTTAAGTTTTGAAATGTCTTCTGTATTGAACGTCCCGTCACATGACTGCTTTTTGTAAATATTTTAGAAACTAGGAAAGATGATTTAATAAAATTTGTTAAATTTAACTTTTTAGACTTATTGATTGGACTGAGAGTTGGGCTTCGTTTAGTAGGTTATGACGCTTCGAAATTCTGACTACAAACTTAAAAAAACAGTTCAAATAATTTTTTTACATTTACATAATTGCAGAGCATTCTTCTAAGCAATATACTATTTACGTTACACTTTATTTGTGTAAAAAAAAGTCAGATTTTATCATTCTGTTGTAAAAATCATCAACTAAAATTTTTGAGCACATATGTCTCAAGGCCTCATACTTATGAAGATCTAAGTGTGAGTTAGTTCGTTTGATCCACAGTAATAAGTTTATTATCAATTCATGTAGCCAAACCTTAATTTGTAAGACTTTTTATTTGTTATAGAAAAGTACTAGGTTGACATGTTGCCGTCTGGTTTCGCGACACTGACAAAAAAATGCAAAATCGGGTCCTAGGATACTGTGTTATAACAAGAATCAAGATGCAAAATTAATTTTCACATCACATAGATAAAAAACTTTTAATTATAATATGTTCATAATAACTTTCAAATAACGGAATCAATACATATCTTTTACATAAGAAAATCTTTATATAGTTTATAACATAACGAACGAAAAGGTACGGACAAAGTTATAGGAGCATTACCTTACAAATGAGATTACCTAAATTTTGGTTTAATTCATTATTTGTTTTATTTCGTTGGGTTTCTAATGGTTCGCCAATTATCCGCTAATCCGAAATAACCTTTCAACCTCATTATACGTCTATTTATGCACGATTAATTTCCCGGAGAAATATTCTAACAACTCTTTGGCAAATTAACCCACATTTCAAGTAAAGTCGAAGAGTTTCGACGACGTCAAATCTGTAAACTGTACAAAAATATGGAGGCAATAGAAATTACGTGAATGCCGGCAGCGCACCCACGAACCTTATGAGAAAAATGTGAAAATAATCGCTATTGGGAGTTAATTGCTTGCGCGATTTTCTAATTAAATTCAGACGTGTTTACAACATAATAAGTTGATGGAATCAATCAGCGTCGGTTGATTGTTTGACACAGATTTAATTTGAATAATTCCCATGCATTAACGGTAATTAAACGAATATAATGACGTCTATTGGAAGTATTCATTATATCTTGTTTGCATCACGTGAAATTGACGATATTCGCAGGTTTGATATGAAGACCAAAATTTTATAGTTTATTTGTATCGCTAGAAAAGAATTTTCTACTTCTGTAACATTTTAGAGTTTTTCATTTATATTTTATAATGTACTGTAAGTTCTAGAATATACTAAATTTTATTTTTCTACGCGCTACTCCAAAATATACAATCTTACGGCTGGTAGTCACGACTTCACTTTGAGATGTCGTTTTTTTTTTAATTTTTAAAAAGAACAAATGAGAGATACAATAATACTAAAAGTTGACAAGAAAACCTGACGACGCTACATTAATAATAGCAATTAACTACCGCAACAAAATTAAAAGTTTTAAAGTGTATAGTTTTGAAAAGAAAACCAGACTCTTATTACATAGATTGGAAAAGCTAAAAAGAGGTACTTCCAAAATTTACCCAGTTTAAAATTTCAAGAAATCGTGCGTCTTATAAGTTTTTGAATATCATCATTCCATTGAAAACTGAAAACGAATAATGACTGATTTTAATAAGTGTTTGATTAGATTCTTGCCAATTGCCAATTGCTTGAATAGCAGCAAATTATATCATTCCGAACGAATGCTCTAGGAATCAGTTGAAAACAAACCTGGCACTTAGAAATTTACTGAATCAGACAAATGCTTGTATACAACTTTTCGAAATCTAAAGGACATTTTAATTGCTCGTCTTTCTAATACATCCGAAAATCTCACACCAAGGATTTATAAACCCATTGAGTTGTTATCACTGCTTACATTTTCTTGTTCACTTGTGCCAAATCGTTTAAACATGCAATTGTAGAATTTTCCAAACTTCAAATATTCTAAAATAAGTTACAACCTCTTGTTAGCACTCATTAACAATAAAACTTAGTTCTGTTAATAACTAGTCATCAGGACTGAAAAAGAAAAAGGCAATTTCTATGGATTATACATATATTTTTTTAAACACATGATAATTAAATTGCTTTTCCTTAAATTATCGTTTAATATCTAATTGACAGAGAATAATTGTCATATAAACTTTGTTGATCTGCTAGAACGCTGCTCACAATTTCTCTGAAATTTTAAGTGTAAACTCTAGCATCTGATGCATTTATATTTTGCAACAATAAAAGCGCGAAATACATGAATAAATCATTTTTGAAAAAAAAAGCGACCACATCCGTTTTAAATTTCCTGCGGACAAACAAAAATATTATTTATAGCTTGCGCTTATTTTTACGGAATGCCACCAATTAATAAGAACTTATTAAAAATATGACGTCGCAATACATATCGTGCGGGCATAAAAAACGGCGAGCGCAATCATTGCTATTAAAGTGGAATTTTAACTGGTCGAACAATTCATTTTCGAAATCCAACCTATCATTTGCAAAAAATGCCGCAGCTCATATTTACGCCTTATAAGGACGACGGAATGAGATATTTTTATTAGATAAGCATCTTTTTTTGCTTAAGTTCGGACGGTAGGAATGTTGGAGTTATCGAACACATGTGTCGATAGATTCCGAGAGGAACGTCTCAAATGTTTTTGTGTGATCACTTTTTCTGTGGGTTATTCAGTCAATTAATTTTTCAACAAAAATCGACGCAGGAGAAATCCAGAAGTTTTATAAAAAGTATTTAGTCAATTGTTACCATTTTTTACAAGCCCTGTGGCATATAGTTAAGTAGTATAACAGGATTGTTCGGAAATTAGAGCTGGTTTGTTTTTTTGGGTAGTTTTTTTGTGTTTTTATTAAAAGTTAAAATTAACTTCTATGTGATGTTAATTATAGTTATACTCACGAAATAAATATTGTCAATTAAGGAATATATACATGCCACACTGTCTAAAACTAAAACTGCATTTTTGGGAGTAAAGGAGAAAGAGTAAAGGAAAATCTGAAAAAAGCCAGGTTTATTAATAGAAGTGCATTCTTCAAAAATTTGAAAGAAATTAATGATGAATAGAAGTCCGTTCATTGTGAGTCACTCAAAATCCACCCAATGTATATAAAAAATATCTGATTTTCAATCTTTCTGAACAAAGTGATCGTACCTGGAGTGGTCTAAATCCCTTTTATTCCCTAACAGTAAGCAAGTGTAATATGAAGGCAACTTCAATTTGACTAGTTGACCCAGGATCTCTTGGGCTTCGTGGAAGCTGTGTTTATCGACCACCGAGTAGACTATGACAAATGCTTCTCCCCACCGGAGGTGTTCGTATAGACATCCGTTTTTCTGGAACAAAAAAAAAACGGTTACTTAATTCCTTAGTTTTTTGGCAAGTAGCAAACTTATGTTTATCGTCATCTTTGATCTATACTTTTTCAGCTACGGCCTTTTTGTAGGCTTAGCAATAAACGTAAATGATTTAAATTTAAATAAATGGCGAAAAAAAACCCATGATGAGAGTGTTCGTATAGACATCCACTTTTCTGGAACAAAAAAAAACCGGTTAGTTAAAATTCCTTAGTTTTTTAGCAAGTAGCAAAGTTATGTTTATCGTCATCTTTGTCTGTACTTTTTCAGCCTTTTTGTAGGCTTAACAATAAACGTAAATCATTTAAATTTAAATAAATGGCGAAAGAAAAGCTATGATACACAGTACCAAAAACGGACTGAGGATTTTTAGAAAATCGGCTAGCATATCTGACTCAGTTAACGTTATGCTCAATGAGAAATTATAGCAAAAATTATAAAGAAGATCAAATTCTTGGCCATACAGGTGGATTCGTAACTAACAAAACATCACACATTATTTATTATTCGCCAAATCAATACTGTCCTGTGGTTTCAACTTCTGGGGCTTCTTTATGCACACAATTAAAATATTCAGAACGCAAAAATAGGTTGTAAGTAGTATGTTACATCTACATCCTAGAGCCTCGGATAGATCATATTTTGCTGAGCTCGGTATTTTACCATTACTTTTTTTAATATTTTTTTGTAGCTGGCTATGCTTGTCAAGAAAAATCCACATTTGTTTGCAACCAACCAGAATTTTCATTCAGAAGATATGTTTATGCTCGCAACATGTGCACAGGTCTCTGTTTAGATCCATACGTGTTTTTTTTTCAAAAGGGTTCAAATTATGGGAGTTGAAACGTTCAGGAATGGTGTTTATAAATGACTTTTAATTTTGAGATGTAAGTGTGTGTCCAAGTATTCATCTCACCCTTGTTGACGTTGCTGTGTCATTATTGTATAATAATATGGTTGGCAATAAAGTATTATTATTAATATTATTATGTTAGTAAATAACAAGAAGATATTTATTTGCCTCGAAAAGCGAGGACAGGACTATGGAGAATGGACGTTTTTTGCTTTCACTAGGATTACCGAAAACCCCAGTGAAGTATGTAAGTTGGTCCACCTTTATAACCTATCTTCCTCAGCTCTCTCATATACCGAACAATATATATTTTTAAAAATGACCTTTTGTAGTGTCTACAGCGAAATTAATTATATCATAATTTAATGAGTTAGTTAATTAAAATCAAGAAAATTAGAATTGTCGCACCTAAGATTCACTTAAGACACAAACAAATTTAATTATTACATATATATACATATTTACATAATACATCTCAATAGTGGGCACTTTCAAAGTGACCACCCTGTGTAACCGGAACGCGAAATATTAACCCAATTGGCCGATAAATTAATAATCGCAGACATACGATGCATAAGTGGTTATTGGCCTAAATGATAATTCACGGATATTTTATAGCCTCTTAATAATTTTCGTGCAAGGACCAGTCCCCGCATGCATAATTTTCCCAAAGCTTCGTTCTTGATTTAAGTGTGGGTTGGTTCCGACTGCCGTTGCCATAAATCCAATCTCGCCACTTCGGGGAATGACCAAATGTAGTTTGAATATCCATTGGACATGATTTGATTTTATTGGAGGCGAAACAACCGTTTTGTATGAAATGAAATTGGACCCTTAATTAACAGATTATAGGTTAACAAAAATAAAATTTGATTTTTTATATTACCAAGATTCAATTGATATTAAAATATCAGAAAAGTTTTGGTAGGCCAAATTTGAACTATTCCTAGTAAGTTGATTATTTTACAATTTTGATAAGAGAACTTCGGACACAAAAGACATTGTGCAACATTGTCGATATCCAACATCCGAGAATGCCATGCAAAGAATAGATTCCCAAAATTTTCTATTTCTACTTCTTTCAGAAAGCCGTTATAACTAAGTAAGTCGAGTTATATCACCGATTCGAATCACTGGTATTGAATTTCATTTTAGGTGTAGAAACTATATATTTTCAATAAATAATAAATAATCAAATATCAAATATCTTAAAATGCAACATGCAAAATGAAACGAGTTATGGAAATTCCGTTTCTTTGATCTTTAGTTTCACAAAGAAGTATGACAAAACAAACTGAATCTTTGAAATCTTTATTGATAAGTTATACCGCCTGTATTTTTGAAATAAATTGCTGGTGAGTAGAGGGTACCGGCCAAATTAAGAAATCTAGTGCTGTAAAATTCATATTATTATTACTTTTAATGAAGCATTTTTTTCTTGAATCACCGAACTATGATTAACGTCACGTTCGAGTGTTTGAATTGCCAAAATATCATGAGTGATTTCCAATCAGGTTTCATATTTAACAGTATCGGAATCGGTATCTCTGTTGTCAGGATGAAATTTTTGAATGATGCAATGGGATTAAGAATAGGTAAATTTGCTAAGAGTCATAGAGAACGCTAGAGAAAAAAAAGTTTTCTCTAATAATATAGTATTGACATTCAGAAGGTATTTTTTTAATCATGGGGAAATAGAATGAAGCTTAAACCTCAGTTGTGACTTGTGCAATATAATTCGAGTCATTTTTTGAATGCCTATATATATTACCTGTTTCTCCGAGAATTCCAAATCCTAAACTAACGGAAACTAATTTTCTATTGCATTTTATTATAAATATTTATAAATTCTTTCTAAGGACTTCTGGCACCAGAGTTTCTCATATTCCATGCTGCGTAAGTTCATTAAAGCAAAAAAATATGGATTACTGTAAAAAAATATAGCTGTTTTTGTACGATCATAAGTAGTAAGACACTTTGAAGCTTGATGTTTAAAGCCATTTCATAAAAGTTTCGAGTGCTCCATTCAAAAATTCACTTCGCCATTTTTTTACCCACCGATAAAATAGTTCCCGAAAATTTCAATTTCGAGTTGAGCAATAAAAAAAATATTATTATTCAACTCTTTTTTTAGCAACGGCAACATCAGATAGTTAAAAATAGGAAATCAACGCGTATGCAAATGATTCTATGGAATATTTCAACTAGAAAGTAATTAGTTATTTTTGGCCATTCCTTATTTTACCTTTTCCACATGACAGCTTCATAAGGTCGATGTCGGTCGAATAATTTTGGTGATAATTTACAGTTAAATGCAAGACCGCCAAATTTTAAATGTTGCCTCCAACTTGTGGTAAGAATGACGCCCATATCGCTACTAGATAAATAGTATAAACCTTATTTACGCTGATAATAGAGGGACTTTTCAAACTAACATAAAAAATATAAAGGGTGGATATTTAATATGCGCAATCGAGAGGTTTTACGAACATATGGGCATTTTGTATGTATGGCAACATCTGCTGACAAGTTTGGTGACGTCTTGTTAAAATATTCAAACTAGACAGACCCAGCTCGATTGCAGTTGGTAACTACCACCGGTTGGTATTACATACCACTTACTGTGGAAATAGAGATTCAAGTTTATAATTTCACAAGCGCCACTGATTTTACAAATAAAAAGCACAGGTTTCATGTTGTTTTGTTGACTCGTACATTACATTAACGAAACTATTTTTCATTCTCTCCCGACTAATAATCCCTACTCTAAAGTACTGAATTTGGCAGGAATGAAGCGTACGGATAGTGTAGATGTTTCTGGTATTTTAGTCACGAGTATGGGAGGAATTGCATATTTTCGGATTACCCACGGCTTGAATTTTGGCGATTGTTAACTATGATGGGCATATCATTGAATGTTTTAGTGCAGCAGCAATAGTGGTAAAAAAGCATAGTATGCAACACGTAGAAAAATTTCTTCAGTCAGCCATGACTAAAGTGGGATGGTTAATACTAAAAATTAATTTTCATATTTGCCAAAATCTGTGGCGGTCCTGAAAAAAGTCCCTGCAAATACAGGCGTAACCTTCTCGTTAGGGTTAATGAGAATCCCATGTTTTGCACGGTACGCAAGATACTATAGTACCGTGTTATTTATTACTTTCTAAAAATACATAAAAATACGGGCATAAGACAGGTACAAGTCCTCTTAAAATAAACTGGTCAATTCCGAAGACCTCGGCTTGCCACTGCACCTGTCACTACGAAGGCGAGTCCCGAGACGCAGTTGCCAAATGATGCTTCTAATCACTTTGAAGGATGGTAGGTGAAGAACGGATTGGCCTATTAATTTTGATAAGGCTGGTATGAATCGTAGCAATCAATTTATATTTAAAAATTATGTAAGTTTTGTATTAAATTTCAAGTTAATGAAGGCTTTAAAACATGTATTCCCTATTTTGGATATTTTCAGTCATATCCGGCAACATCGATAAATAACTGGCGCCAAAATTATCATATTTAAATGGCGAGTAACACGCGAAATTGCATAAACATTGACGAGGAACTTCCGTATTGGAGAATCGAGGATTTACACCAAGCAAAATAATTTTTAATAATTGGCACTTGGGTTAAGTCAGTAGTTGGAGTATTTTAATTTTATTACTCCAAATATGGCCAAGAAACATCTTTATTTCTTTATTGCTAGCTTTAATAAATCACCCAGCGACCATTACATTCTGGGGAAGACGCAAGTGAAGCTATCTTTCACAGGAAGGAATAGGGTGAGTTGCGACGAAAAGCTGCGTCGATTGGTTGGCACACATAGCCTTACAAAACAAAAAAATTAATAAATATTAATTAAGAAAAATTTTGATATATATATAGAGAACTTTGAATGAGCAAGTACTGAGACAAGACCAAACACACAGATTAAAACAAGTAGATAATATAATGACAAAACATTAAAAGAAAGGGAAGGTGCTTGTAGTCAAAAGAAGTGGAGGAATTGGCAGCCAAAAGAGATTTACAAATTTAAATTTAAAGATAATCAGGGCCGATGTATTTAGAAGATTCTCAAAAAACTGAATTTTCGAACACTAAAGGCAACCAAGCACAAACAAAATAA